AAATTGATATAACTTCATTGGAGCACGTCCCTTATGCTTGGATCCCACTTCTGACACCTATTTGTTACGTCTCCGTTTGTTAATTGATTTTCCGTAACTTCCTTCCGACAAAACTTTAGCGACACAAGTCCTTACTTAATAAAACTGGTTTATTCTTTCTAAATATAACTTTACCGATACACTTATTTTCAACAGTCGCTCTTTTACAAATGTTTTAACAATGAACGTTAACTTCAACAATACTTCCTGACTGCAGTTCAATTACTCACTACCTACACACATTGTTGTCACGTTGTGAGCGTCTTTTATATATACCAGACAAACGTGTATCTAGTAAATGCTAGGGCATTCTCGAAGGAACAAGAAAGTTCTAGAAACGTGGCGTGACACTAGTCACGTGACCTCGCTGAAGCAACAATACATATAAAGCTACTTCTCCCCCTCTTTTGAGGTACTATCCCTATTAAATAAACTATAATTCTGTATTTTAAAGAAATTTCTATCATCAAAAATTCTCTAAGTTTATCCAAGTTTCAGTTATTTCTATGACATGAAAATCCTACACTCTGACTAGTGCTCTAAAGTCCTGTTTTATTTCCTATACTTCTAGCATACAAAAGTAACAATTTAGCCTACCCATAAAACTACTTCTGTACATTGTTCCTACACTACATTTGTTCTATACATCTTATTTTTTCTGCATATAGTTCACCCTGGCCTTCACCTCTATGTAGTCCTAGTTTAAAGCTGCCCTTACAGCTAAGTTAATAGCCCTTTCAAACAAGCCATCCCCTATACTATTTATATGTAAGCCATCCATTCCAAAGGGCTTCTTTTTCCTATCAAATTGATCCTGCAAATTGGACCAGCCAATCTGGTCATTGTTACATATTAACCTAAGCCTATTATTCAACTTTAGTGATCTATTTCTAATCTTATGTCATCAATTAAATCTGCAGAGTATTTCTAACAAATTTAAGTTATGGCCCTTTCCATTAAATGCCTTTATCAACCTTCTTGTCACTTAGTTTAGTTCCTCTGACCTATCTTTACTTACATCGTTAGCCCCTATGTGCACAAAAAAGACTGTATCACTGCTAGCACCCTTTACTCTATCACTTGCTCTACCAGTTATGACCTCCAATATTTTGCTTTTTATTTACTCCAGAGACTATCCTATCTACATGTTATACCAAAGAACCACCTACAACTATAACCTTCTACACTTTCTCATTTCCATTCCTATTTGTCTCTTTTCTTTCTCTCCCATAGTACATAGTTCCTATCTGCTCAAGTTAATTCTGTTATTTAATCAAACTTTCTTGTTGCAATTAAATTCTATACTTCTAGCCCTTATTGTTCTGTTTCTA